ATGAAAAGTAATCAGTTTACATCTGTTTGAACTTCAGTTCACATTAGTCTTGTCTACATCTCTTTTTAAAGCTATTGTACAGGTAGAAATGACGTGCTGCCATGCAGGTCTCCTGCAGACCTGTCAGTATATCTGCTTGCCCATACGGGATGTATGGGTAAGCAGATATACTGACAGGAAGCTTGAATGAGCTACTAAAGCGCCTCACAGCACTGTAGCAGTTCATTGAGAACTAAAAGCTGCCGACAGCCACTAAGGCTGTCGGGTCATGTTCATTCCGTCACAAAACACTGTGAATGAATGATGCGGCTGTGTGGGCAAAGCACCTTAAAAGACCCCCCTGGAGGCTTACAAATTTGTACGGCCTTTTGGAAGTGTTTCTATATGGGCATTTCCAGTAAGCATGAAGCTAAATAAAGATGTCAGTTCATGGAGCAGGGCATGCACCTAGTAAGATGGTGCAGAGCACCTGGTCAAAGAAGGATTCAATAACATCTCCATTACTCTGGGTTTGAGTGTTTCACTAGGATCTTCAGGGTCAGCATTTGCAGGTGTTCTCAGACAATGCTATAACATATGTAACCAAGTGGGTGACAAGTTCTGCTTCACCGAGCAAGATAAACTCTGACTGGTTAGAGGAACTTGGCTTTCCTGACTGCAGTTCATCTAAGGTCAATTTTTAATCTGGTGGCCAACTTCCTAAGTAGGTACCTTATTTTACAGTGATCATGGACAAAGGAGGTGAATCTGTTTAGGAATCAAGAGGTGTAAAGTATTTGCCTTCTTTTCCCTAAACAAGACACATGGGTTTATTTACCAAAGCTAGAAAGTGCAAAATTAGGGCCACTTTTGCATAGAAACCGAACCGATTCTAACTTCAGCTTGTTCAGGTAAACTTTGGCAATAAAACCTGGAAACTGACTGGTTTGTATGAAGAAGTGAGCTTGATTTTGCTGCCAGCTTCGAGATTTTATTGCCAAAGTTTAACTAAGCAAGCTGAAGTTACAAGCGAATTGGTTTCTATGCAAAAGTTAGCCTGATTTTGTACTCTCCTGCTTTAGTAATTAAACACCACAAAACCTTGGTAAATTATGGTGTGTTTTGTTTTTTTTTTCGCTCCCTTTTGGCCCAAGAGACCTTGGTTTTCTATGCTACTTGTTTCTCAGTGGAACCTCACTGGACTCTTCCCCTTCGAGAAGACTTGCTTCCTTAGCGCCCCCTTCACCGTCCACATATCAACAACTTAAAGCTGACATCATGGCTTTTGAGGAGCAGTTGTTGAAGAGAAAAGGGTCTTTCGGACGGTCTTGTTTATACTAGCCAAAATGTGGAAAGCCTTGGCATCTTGATGCAGTAAAAATAAAAATGCAGTTTTGGAGAAATCCTTGTCCTCTTCTTTTATTAGTGCCCAGGCTTTTTAGGGTATTACTCAGAACAAGGTCAACACCTCTTCAACAGGCTTTAACTAGGGAGCTATTAGAACCTCTGAAGTCTGTAACCTTAAAACGTCTTACTCTTAAAAGCATGGTTCATCTTTACCAAAAAGTTGCCTAGACCGTTTATAGATGAAAACAAAGTGTGTGGATTTGACCAAAGTTAAATAATGTCCCTGCTATAGGTGTAGGTCATTAACTTACCTGATGAAGCCTGACTGAATGGATCATCCCTACCTGCCTTCTAGGACATCACTATGAGACTCACAGCTGTTTACTGTTCACCCCACAATCACAGGAGTTATCTCTGATTCAAACCCCTCACATACGCTTGCTCACCCCTGATGCAGGAGCTCTGAGCTCAACACTTGAGAGTTTGCTCCTATGATGATGGAGGTGAACCGTAAGCACTATGAATTTCTTAGTGATGTCCTAGCAACAAGGCAGGATGGGGTTATTTCATTTCTGGGAAGCAGGGGGTCTACTTATGTTATATGTGGTGCTGTTTGCTTATCTGAATCCTGTGGCCTTTTTCCAGGTCGAGATGGCTAATCTTCAGAAGAGCGTTTTAGAATTGATTAAATGCTTCAGGCAGCAGTGTTCCCTTCTGTGTGAAAGTGAGAGGACCACCATATGCAGTGCAGATGACATGCTGCTTATGTTACAGTTAGCAGTGGCTGAAGTGAACAAAAAGGTATGTGGCTGAAAAAGAAGGTAAAAAAAAGTATGCCGTAGTAATCTATGGGTCAGCTTACTGTTGTGTGTGTGTGTGTGTGTTGTTGTGTGTGTGTGTTTTGTTGTGTTGTTGTGTGTGTGTGTTTTGTGTGTGTGTGTTGTGTGTGTGTGTGTCTGTGTGTGTGTGTCTGTGTGTGTGTTGTCTGTGTGTGTGTGTTGTGTGTGTGTGTGTGTGTGTGTGTGTTTGTTGTTGTGTTGTGTGTGTTTGTGTTTTGTTTTTTGTGTTTGTGTTGTTTGTGTGTTTGTGTGTTGTTGTTTTTTTGTGTGTTGTTTTTTTTTGTGTGTTGTTTTTTTTTTTGTGTTTTTTTTTGTTTGTTTTTTTTTTGTGTTTGTGTGTGTGTTTTTGTTTTTGTGTTTTTGTGTTTTTTTTTTTTTGTTTTTTGTTTTTTTTTGTTTTGTTTGTTTGTTTTTGTGTGTTTGTGTTTTTGTTTTGTGTTGTTTGTGTGTTTTGTGTGTGTGTTTTGTGTTTGTTTGTTTTTTTTGTTTTTTTTTTTTTTTTTTTGTGTGTTTTGTGTGTGTTTGTTGTTGTTTTTTTTTTTGTGTTTTTTTTTTTTTTTTTTGTGTTTTTGTGTCTGTGTGTTGTTTTTTGTTTTGTGTTTTTGTGTGTGTGTTTGTTTGTGTTTTTTTTGTTTGTGTTGTTTTTTTTTTGTTGTTTTTTTCTTTTTGTTTTTTGTCTTGTTTCTGTTGTTTTGTTTTTCTGTCTGTTTGTTTTTTTTGTCTGTCTGTCTTGTCTGTCTCTGTCTGTCTGTCTGTCTCTGTCTGTCTCTCTGTTTTGTTTTGTCTCTTTTTTGTCTCTGTCTTTTTTTCTCTGTCTGTCTGTCTTTTTTGGTGTGTCTGTCTCTGTGTCTGTCTCTGTGTCTGTCTCTGTGTCTGTCTGTCTCTGTGTCTGTCTCTGTGTCTGTCTCTGTGTCTGTCTCTGTGTCTGTTCTGTCTCTGTGTCTGTCTCTGTGTCTGTCTCTGTGTCTGTCTCTGTGTTGTCTCTGTCTGTCTGTGTCTGTCTCTGTCTGTCTGTCCAAACCAACTAACTACCCTTCACCACGTTTATTATGCTGGATAGCAAATGAGTCTGCCATTTATGCTCTAGGTGTTTGGCAGATTACTGTGAAGTTGCTAGCTTTCCACCATCTCCCACCTTACTAAGTTTTTAAAGTGATGCTGGATTTTTATTTTTATTTTGCTCTGTGCTATGGTATTGCACAGAACGGCCTCGAACCTCCTCTTCTGGGGTCCCCTGCCGGCGCTCTTGGTTCCTCTCGGTGTGCCACCACTGGAAGCCACTTCTGTGGTGGCACACCTATGGGCTCTCGCTTGAGCCGGGCTGTGTGCATCCATTGATGCACAGTGTGGCCATCCCTGCTTCCTCCTTACAGGATTTGATTGACAGCAGCAGGAGCCAATGACACCACCTGCTGTCTCTGTCCTGTGAATGCAGGACAAATACTGGGGCATTTTTTGTATTGCCTTACTATAGGCAATGCATTAACATAAAAATAGTCTAACATTTTCCAACCACTTTTAGGCCTCGTTCATACCATATGTGCAGAAAAACTGATGGTAGCTGAGCCACAACTTTCACTTGCAGAGACATCAGTTTTTATGCACTGTACATTGAGTTTAAAGCGCGTTGCAGAAAAAAATCTGCACGTGATCCTAGTGGTGTGGTGTGAATAGGGCACATAGAGAACAATTGATGTTGTTGCCCTTGCAGAACGCATGCAGAAAAACTGGCGTCTCTCCATCATGCTGTGAACAAACTCACTCTGTAAAAAAAAAAAAAAAAAAAAAAAGTCAGCAGCTACAAACTAGCTTTTGACTTTTAAAAAAACAGCCACTCACCTGTCCCACGATCCCACGTTGCCCCTGCTGCAGCCCGTTTCACTGGCTGTCCTGTATTCCAGGAGGCTGGCATCTTCAGTGTGGGCACCTGGCTGTGACAGCTTGCAGCTTCACAGCCGGGTGCCCACTGCGCATGCGTGAGTAACGCTGCATTTCCGTCATCTTCTGGGACCTGTCACGCAAGACTTCGGGGAGAGAGGTTAAGAGGACAACCTCTGTTTGCAATCGCCTAGGCGACCGTAGCGGAAGTGGGAGCATTAATTTGTTGGTCACTATTGTAAAGTCCACCTAAATGCACTAGTTAATTTAACACTACCGTCTCCAGATAGTGCTGCTGTTCAAGGGAGAGTCCATTGCTCCTCAATAGAGAGACTAGTGACCCAAAGACAAGTAGTGTGTTACTGGCCAGATCACCGGGAGGAAAAAAAGTGAATAACCATTACATTTAGGATTTGTAAGCTGCAATATATTATTATATTTGATGTGAGATTTGAAACAGAACTTCACCCAAATGGGGAAGCTCTGCTTTGTCTAGCCCCCCCCCGCAGTCTTCTGGGAAAAGTCACAGGTACCAGAACTGCAGGACTGTTCACAAAGCACAACGTGGCATGCGCAGAGTGCAGCCGGCTATGAAGCCAAAGTTAGGATATTGGCCCCAGAACCTGAAGGCTGGTGAAGAATTAGCTTGGGTGAGGAATGTGCTGGACCCCTGGACAGGTAAATGTCCTTTTAATTCAAAGGCAGCAGCTCCAGGATTTGTAGGTGCTGACTTTTTTTTTTTTTTTTTTTTTTACTACCCCACCCCAAGTGAACTGATTTAATGCCCCCTCAGGTTCTTATTTCATTTCTTTCTGTTTACTTTTTTTTTTTTTTTTCTTTCAATTTAGAATGGGGAAGAATTTACAGCTCCTCTTAGTGACGTGCTGCTTATATGGAAACACTTGATTAAAGATAAACTCGGGCTTATCTGTGAAGGTACAGTAGCTCCTGGGAACTATGATGATGTCCAAAGAACATATAACCTTTTTTTGAAAAATGGCAATACACTGGATCTCATTGATATACATGGAAAACTGAGCTGTACTACAGAAGCAAGCAACCTTTCTTCTGTAAGTATCAAAGACAGTATGCAAGTGCTTTCTTTCCTTTACCTAATGTTTTCTGTGCTATTAAGTTCTGTTGGTGTGCTTTTCTATGTTCCTTTAAAGCCCAGCTCCAAGACCAATTAAAAACAACTGGTATGGTAAAATATATTCTATAAAATATTTATTTAATTTTTTTTATCTTAGTGATGATGATTGTCATGGTGCCCTGTATTCTGGGCGTTCAGGACTGCAGGTAGCCAGCCGCTAAAAGCTTGGCATAATATTTTGCTTTAGGTAAAAATCTTTCCCAGAAGTCTCTTCTGCATGAGTGTGTGGGTGTTGTTTTTTTTTTTTTTTTTTTTTTTGGTCCCCATCTGAAAAGTGAGGAGAGCATTTCTAAAAAGACTGTTAGGAGGGAAAACTACTACTATCAGAGCTTGCACTGTATATACTGTCATTTTAAATGGCATCCCAGTGCATATAAATAAACAAATGCACCTGTCCTTCAGTGCATACATCTGCTAAAAATATTGCCAATGTATGGGTTTTTTTATTTTTCTTTCCATACCTGGAGGCTAGTAAAGGGCCAATTCACCCTGATACAGCACGTGAAGGTGCAGAAGCCTGTAGGGAAGTGATGGTGTATTTTCACTGGGTGCACATATAGTGTAGCTATCATTGAAAAGTGTGCTTGACCGTATGCTGCTGCAGCTTCTCTCCTTTCAGCACTCCAGGTGCGGGAGATTGCGGGACGATTAAGTAGTGGATGTGTATGAATTGGAGGATACGGATATTGGTTAGCGTTACTTAAAATCCTAAAAATTAACAAACCTGTCATATTTACCTGCTGTGTGCAGTGGTTTTGCACTGCGCAGCCCCAATCCTCTAAGTTCCCCTGTCGGTGCTCCTGACCCCTTCCTCATGCCTAGTGCCCCCAGAGCAAGCAGCATGCTGTGGGTGCTCACTCCCGAGCTGCTGCTCTGCATGTCCATTCACACAGAGCTGTGTCTGTCTATCTCTCTCTCCATTGCTGTCTCAGCCAATGAGGAGAGAGTCCCTGGAGAGCTGAGGCTTTCATGCAAATCTCTGGATCATGATGGGGCTGAGATAAGTATTGGGGGGACTGGAAGGAGGGGGGGGGTACTGCTGCACACAGTTTGGTTTTTTTTTTTTTTTTTTTTTTTTTTTTTTTTTGTTCAGTGTTTTTATTTCAACTGGAGTCCTTCTTTTAATAGGAACACTTGCTTGAATTTTCTGTCCGAATGCCACTTTGAAGACGATGAGTGCAGAATAGCCTCAGTTTCCACACCATGTAAGAATATGGATTTAAGAAAGGTAATTGTTTAAAATGTTCTCTTTTTGGTGTTTTTTGGAAAAAACTTTAAAATGACAGATTATTTATATTCACATTTCTAGAGGAAAGAAGTTGTACAAAGGATCTTTTGTTCATACTTGAGTCTGCTAGTGAATTCTAAAAATGATATTGCTCTAGCCCAAGTCCTAAACTGCCCAGACAGAGGCCTGGGAAGAGAAGCCTTTACAGACCTTAAACATGCTGCAAGAAGCAAACAAATGTCCCTGTTCTTGGTAAGTTATTTCAGACCATATCTGACTGAATTGGTAAAAGACTGGACTTGTATGTCTGTCTGAATTGGCAGAATATTGTAAATCCTGCAGTAAATGAAGCTTGATGGGTGTGGTGTAGAAAATGTTGAAGTTGTAAAATTCCCCAACTGTTTGAATAGGGTGTTCTTCTTCTTCTTCCTTTTTCAGCAAAAAAAAAGTGAATCCTCTTAAGGCCTCATTCGCATGGGCTTATCTATGCATACATTCATGCAAGGGTCATCTTCACCTGACGTGGGATATACAGTTGTTCATGCATCTGTGTGAAGGCAGTTCCATTTATGTCTGTTGGGAAGCAGCAGCTGCATGGACAGTCCCTGGTTTCTTTTTGACAGCTGTGCAGGTGCGTTTGCGGAGACGCATCTGAACCTACATGACTTTCCAATTGAGAACAGCAGCTATGTCTGGCAGCTGCTACATCCCAAATTGGATAGTCTTACAGCTGCATGTACCCAAACAGCATTCAGGGACATGCACCTGCATAGCTGTGAAATTTAATCCAAAATAACTGCCTTAAAAGCGGTAGTAAACCGTATATTTAAAAAAAAAAAAACCCCTGCAAGGTAATGTCATAATGTGCTAGTATGCATCTCATACTAACACGTTTATAAAGGACTTGCCTTAACACGAAGCCCTCCAGCGGAGTGCTGTCACCGCTGATAGGTTTTTCCTACTGCTTTGCAACTTTAAATTGCATTATCAGAGGATCAGTCCTTTTTAAGACTGTGTAACGGTATCACCACTTCCAAAGGGAGGGACTGCATTCCTATTACTATCCGATCAGCCCTTTAAACAGGGTGCTATATCTGTGGGCAGGAGGCTAAGTAGACCTCAGACTTGACAGTCAGTGGTGGCAACTATCCTGTGTGCATTTAGTTCCCTTAGAATGAGCTTGTTGTACAGGCTCATAAATTAAGACTACCTTAACACATGAAACCGCCTGGGGTAAGAAAATTGTGATACAGAAGGCACAGCATCCTGTATCTCCCAAGACAGGCAGTGCAAACTAACCATGCTAGAATGGATATTTTTCTGTGCATAGTGTGGTCAGTAGGAATCATGGTATGCAAATATATAGCACAACACGTGATTTTATTTTTTTGGGGGGCTGACATACACTTTAGTAGCATCTTGTGTGATTCTCTAAAACTAAAGCAGTGACTCTTTGTACTAGGTGGCAACTTCATTTATAAGGACATTGGAGCTTGGCGGAAGGGGCTATGCACCATCTGAATCTGATCCATTAAGGAAACATCTGAAGGGCCTTTCTCTGTTTGTTCACTTTATTGACAAACTCAATGAAATTCTTGGAGAAAACACACAATGCAAGGTAAACATACTGATGTGTGGTGTTGTGTGTGTGTGTGTGTGTGTGTGTGTGTGTGGGTTTTTTTTTTTCCCCCTTTCTCCCTTTTTTGTCTTCTCAAGCCTCATACTAGACCATTGTTCATTGTAACCTGTACACTCAGACCATTAGTGTGTTTACAGGCTTAAAGCAATTGTTGAAAGTCATTAGGCTTTGTGCATATGTGTGCTCCCAATGACTTCAGCTTGTGTAAGAACAGTATGTATAACAAGCTTTTTACATAATATTTTCAGCGTTTTGAGCATTTTTGTTGAATCCTCTTACAGAGGAACATCACTTGTGTTTTAAAAATGTAAGTCGGCAGCTGTGAATACTGTAGCTACTGTCTAACAATCCAGTACTTCCCAGCCAGTGGAGTCTAGAGATGCCTTCCTTGAAGCCAATTCTTTGCCATGGTTCGTACTACTAGTACCAGCATTCAGGATGTGACTTCCTGATGTCTAACAGCCAGCTCCCCACTGCTCGTGCATGAGATCATGTGGTGCTGCGAGAGTGACCTAATTCTCACATAGGCAAGCATTAAAGTGTAAGTGGGTGCCTGTCAGATAAAAAGGTAGATAAGTGGAAGTAGGGGAATTAATATTTTGCAAGTTAAAAAAAAAAAAAAGTGCATTTATTTTTTGTTGCAGGAGCCTGTAAAGCAATGCACCAGCGATCAGTAGATCGCTGGTGCCATGCAGGTCTCCTGCAGACCTGTCAGGATATGCTTGCCACTACATCCTGTACGGGCAAGCGGGTACACTGACTGGAAGAATCAATGAGCTACCACGGTTCTCCACAGTGCCATGGTAGTTTGAGAACTGCAAGCCAACATCCATAATGAATGTTGGCACTTGTAGTCCATTCATTCACAGAACTTTGTGAATGAATGATGTGGCTGTGTGGGTGGAGCCCTGCACGGCCGCATTGTTTTTAAAAAGTGAAAGCTTGTACTGCAAACTTCAGGTAGTGGCTGCAGCATTGGGAACATGTTACCAAAGGTGAACTTATCCTTTTTAAAGGGGCTGTAATGACCGTGAATTCTAGTAGTTTAATGTAATGTGTCCGTAAACGCACTTGTAGCATGTCGCATGTCTGGACTCCTGTATAATGTCTGCATTCTATTGAAAATATTCTGTAGCATTGCTTAACACTAATTACGTGGCCACTGGATAATGTTCGGGACCACAGTTGAGGCCTTTATTCTTTTGAAAGCTGGCATTTCAGTTTAGTGAGATTTTATATACAGATCTTGAAGGAGAAATTTTGGGGTCATTTGCACATTAGCCCTGTGTGATTTAGGCAAAACTGCTAATGTGATTTATATTAAAATTGCACACTGAACAAAGCTGGATGAACTGCAAAATGCTAATGCTACTGTGGATATACTGCCAATATGAGGCAAATAGACAGTTGGAGGAGAACTACATGTTCAGGTCTGGCCACTGGCCTGCAAAATCTGATTCCTGGCTTGTTCATCTCTTTGCTGTACAGTGGGCAGATCCAAGGGTCTCCGACTACCAGTCTAATCTGCCCATCGTACAGCATAGTTAAATGGAAAGGCCAGTAGTCTGATCATCCCTGCCGCCCATTCACACTGTAGTTCTCAGTAAAGCAAGCTCTTGATGCAGTGGAAGGACCAGATAGTCTTAAGCCTGGTACACACATTTAATTTATAATATATATTTTTAAAAATTTTCCGCTCAGCAGGCTGAACGTAAAAAACTAAGATTGCCGTACTAACTAAGCAATGTAAGTACAAAGATCTCTCCCCCCGCTGTGCCTTGTAGTTTGACAGGGACCCTCGAACTCACTTCTGGATTTTCAGCATGTCCCCTTTGACAAAAGCCAGTCCTTGGTCCGAATATCGGCCAGTTTAGCATATTCTGACCATGTGTACCCAGCTTTACACTCCTGGACAGTCTGTCCCCAGTGTGAATGGGCAGCAATGTAGGTAGGACTGTGGGGGTGTGTATGAGATGAATTGGCATCCTGGCCTATGCTACACAATGGGTGTATCAGATCGGGAGTCTGAGATTACTGTTTCCACCCACTACATCAAGAGCTTGCTTTACTGAGAACTATAGAAGGGAATGTATAAGACCGGGGGCCAGGGGGATAGAGGGAACAGCAGCCACCAGTCTTCTGAGCAGTATATGGAGGGCTCCTCGCAGAATAAAGAAGGCTGGACTTCTGACTTCCAAGAGGACTGTAACACAAACATAGGTGGGAACACCTATGTATATAAGAGCATAAAATTTCTGTTCAGAGTTCAGCTTTAAGATGGCAGTCTAAATTTCAGACCTTCTGTGTGTTTTTTTTGGTTTTATAAATCGTCTTTAACAGTTGTCCAGACCAGTAGAAATTGTGACATTTTCTAGCTTTTGGAATTGTAATTATGAATCTGGTTTACATTTTAACAGGCATTTGGAATTCGTCCATATCCCTATTTTCTCACTAGAGTACTTTATTCATTTTCCAGTAAAGAATTTGCTTTCAGAGAATATGCACTTTGAGATGTTAAATTACCCACTGGTTTTGTGTTGTGATTTATGCATTCAAGAAAGTATTGATTTGGCTATGGAGAACTGTTTTTGGTACATAAACTTTAAACTCACCATGGCCCTTAATAATTATTTTTATTTTTCCCTTTTGTGATATTTTCCTGTAACTCACAAAAGCAGTTCCATGCCATGCGCCAAAGAAGTGTGGTTGGGGTTTTTTTTTTTTTTTTTTTCAACATTGTCCTGAGCCAAATTCATGAAAACCTTGCAAGAGTTTGGTTAACCGTTATGACATGTACGACAGATTCTTGTAATTTGTGTTACATTTACAAGGTGTTGCTATGTTGCAGTTCATAGATGGCAAAACTGGAGGTAATTAAGACCAACTTAAAGCGGTAGTAAACCACAAAAAAGGAACCAAAAAAATCTTCTCCCTACAAGTTAAGAGTATAATGTGCTAATATGAAATGCATATTGGCACATTTATGAAAGACTTTCCCTGAAAACTAAGCCCTCCAGCGGTGCATTGCCACAGCTGACGGGGCTTCCATCTTCACCTAGTCTTTTAGGTTTGTGGACCGTGGGGGTTTGAATGGGTGAGCGGCGATGAGGTCCCTTCCCATGCATGCGCATGGGAGTAATGAGTGCAATACAACTCCTCTCAATGGTCTGCATGCTGTCAATTGAGAGCACAGTGCACATGCGCCGGTGACATCAAAAATAAATATCTAAAAAGGTGCATGTTTTAGGAGATATTTACTGTACCTACAGGCAGTGGTGTATTTATATTTCGTGCTGCCCTAGGCAACACAAAAACTGGCTCCCCCCATTGACCAGCAACACCCCAGGCTCCCCAGCCAAGAGAGCCTTCCACTACCACTGCCCCCCAAACACTGGCAACCCCCCCGACGAGATAAGACACTCACCTTCACAGCTCTGGACATCCCTGGGAACAAGAGTCAGGCTCTGCGTACACCATCAAGCAGCCCGCAGCCTCTATCAGATCCCACCTTGTCCCCGTGCTGCGTGTGTCCCTTCTTCCTTTCCTTCTTTAGGGGGACAGTGCTGCCCCCCTGAAAAATGCCACCCTAGGCAAATGCCTTGTGGTAAATACACCCCTGCGTACAGGTAAGTCTCTTATTATAGGCTTACCTGTAGGTGGAAAATAAGTCTTTGCTACCACTTTGAAGTTGGCATACAGACATGCCAGAGTTATGGGGAGTTGTACATTTTGTGTATTTGTTTTATTGGTTGCTAGAATGCAGGCTGCTAGCGGTTACCAGCCAATGACATGGATGAATTTGGATAGTGGGTGGAGTCTGACGGGTATGCTGAGAGTCTAGTTCCCCATCAGGTCCACCTGCCTTGTGTTTGGCAGTGGGTGGATGCCGTAGCTGCTATTGTACTGAACAGGTAGCTATGAAATCCATCCACTACCTGAAAGTCACAAGGGAGGCAGATCTGTTGGGGAAATGGTATGAGTGCTCCTTCCTCTACCTACTTTGGCTGCTGGGCCTGACTGTGTGACAAATGCAGTGGCTGAACAGGGAGCATCTCTGAGCTTCTCCTCCCCCTCCCTTCCCTTTTTTTTTTTTTTTTTTTTTTTTTTTTTTTTTTTTTTTTTTTTTCTCTGGAACTGGACTGAGTATTGGGTGTAGACACTCCATGGAACTGGACTGAGTATTGGGTGTAGACACTCCAGTCTTAATGCTGGCTGCCTTCTGACACATTTCAGGAGCTTTTAGTGCAAATTGACAAGTTTGCTTGATTGGGGCCACCCACCCCCCCCCCCCCCCCCCTTTCCAAATGATCCACTCTGTTCCTGGGGGTAGGCCATATACTATTTAATACAAGAAAAAAAAAATACTTGGAAGAGTTTATTATTGTTAGGGGGGGCTATTATCTATCATTCTTCAATTCCATACAAATTAAATAAAACAAAAGGATACTTGGCTCTGCAAAAAGGAGCGGTACTACGAGGTGGGTATGGGGCAGAGAAAAGGAATGGTGCTCAGAGGTTGGGCAGGGTAGAGTGAGTACCTGCACATATTCTTTGAGGGTGGGAAAAGAAGCCCTGTATCTAATTTAATCTCTAAGATTTCTTTTCACTTGCTACTATAGTGTTCATATGCCTAGTAATGAGGATTGAAGGGAGTTCTGCCAAATAGGGACAGCAATTAAATCTTGAAAGCTGCTGACTCTCCTTGCACTCTGAAAATCTCAAACTGGAGGGGGGGGTGGGGGTGAGAGGAATGTTTTTTAGCTAGAATTCTACTATAATGGTCTTCAGTACTTCTGGAAAACTATTCCAGTGTGCCTTTTTTGCTTTGCGTTGTTGGTTAACGTGTGTGTGTGTGTTGTGTTTTTTTTTTTTTGGTTTTTTTTAATAGCCAAATAAAAAAAAAATGCATGATATAAAGGGCGTTTATTTGGGCTTTTTCTTGCAGAACTGCAGCAGAGCGCATTTTGTCAGCGATAAAGATGCATCTTATAAAGGGTAGAGGCAGTGGGGATCTGTTCAGTGAAAACTGTGATGGAGGTTGCAAACAATTTGGATCTGAGAATTAACCTTATTAATTTATCTGTTGAAGTGAAGACTGAGAGCTCCACAGGAATCAGTCCTGCACGGGTAAGCTTTTTGATGCACTTTCTTTATTTTCCTTTGTTTGGACATTTCTTGCTTTATTCTAAAGCTGGAGAAATTCCAGGATACCTCTGAAGGTATGCTGTGGTATCTGGCACCAACCTGTCAGTACCAGCTCCTTTTTAAGTCCTGTAAGTTGTGATGGGTCCATGGGTCAGATTGTCTGGTTTGTTTTTCTAGCACATCCCACAGATACTCGATTTGGATTAAGATCGAGAGATTTCAGAGGGCAAGTAAACACCTCAAACTTATGAATTCAAGAATGGTTGCAGGAACACAAGTACAGGCCACCTTCTCCCACTGCTCCTGTGATTCAGTTATGATGCTCAAGTACACATTGCATTTTGCTGTGCACAAGGGTCCACATAGGTATCCTGACCGGTCTATGGCTACGCAGCCCCATATGTGACAAATTGCGATGCACTGTGCTCTGACCGCTTTCTATCTGCACCAGCATCAAAAGAGAAGTATGAGAATTAAAATTAATAAACAAACCTACTCATCTGTTGTAGGTGAATGCTGCATCTGTCCCCCACCACCTCTGAGACTGAGATCTAAGACAGCTGATCACTTGGTTCTCAGTCTTCAGTTAGCAGAGAGCTGGTGACTGTCAGTCACTGACACTCTACTCTGCCCCTCCAGCACTCATTGGAGTGCCAGGCTGAGGAGGGGGCAGGAGCAGCTGGCTCAGGCTCTCAGCAGCTTGCTGAGAAGCTGAGCCAGCTGCCAATCCGGAATCTTGCTGGATCCCAATTTAAAGTCTAGATCTCTCCAAAGCCTCGACTGACTTCAGCTGAGTACAGGTCAAAGGTGCAGAATTAGGTGCACTGCTGTGACCTAAAGGAGAAGCAGGCCAAAAAGGACTTTGGCCCTACTTCTCCTTTTTAGTGACTTTAAAGGATAAAGCATTCTGTTAGTGTTAAGACTTTGTCATCAGCGGAGTCTTATCTTTCAAATGTCCTGTAGCCTTGGGCAATTTAGTAGTCTCTGCAGCAGCATTGGACTATCCTGCTGGAAGGTCATCCAATTCAGAGTCCACAGCGGTGGTGCATGTGAACAGTCTTTCACCTCCTGGCTGAAATATATACAATTTAATAAGCAATATTTCATGCTTGTCTAGCTAAAAATAAATATTTAAATTTTCATTCCTAACATAAGGAATCTGTACAAAACCACTAAACATTCCCTTTAAGACACAACACCAGTATGATGGAATTTTTTTCTGTTTACAGCCTAGAATTCATGCAATCAACCGTGGCACAGCTTTATGTGGTAGGGAAACAATAAAAACATTGCTAGTACTTTTGGATGAAGAATCTGCCAATCCACCCAGCAAAAACAAAGCAGAATTATTATATGCTGAAGACACCACTCTCTTCGGATCAACTTCTATTCTATCACTTTTTAGGTACGTAGAGTTTGATATGTATTTTCCCACAAGCTATATGATGAGCAAAGAAGTGAAAATTGAAACCGCAAAGCTATTTGTAGTGTTTTACTTGTCTCTCTCCAAAGCTTTGCCGTTTCTCTCTGCTGTTTTGTGTTCCTCTGGGGCAATTCACTTCACTGGGTACGAGAGGGTCTACAACCACTTGCCCTCCTGAGGATTCCCCCCCCCCCCTTTTCTGACCAGGCAATTGTTTTTGTGTTACTTTAACTGACAATTGCACGGTCATTCAACAATGCACCCAAATGAAATTTAAGGCTCCCCACCCCAAATGGAGCTTTCTTTTGGTGGTATTTGATTGTCTATAGCACAAAAACAAAACCCCGCACAAACCTAAACCTGACTTAAAGTTAAAACAAATTTTGTCTTAAATTTAGGCCAAAGTGTGTGTGTGTGTGTGTGTGTGTGTGTGTGTGTGTGTGTGTGTGTTTTTTTTTTTTTTTTTTTTTTTTCCCCCCCCCTTCACTACTAATGGTGGCGGCCAGTGACTTAATAGCGAGTCTGCGGTGGGAATTCTGACACTGCGGGGAACTGTGCTAATAAAAAGCACAGACACTGTACTAATTGCACTGGGCAGGAAGTGGTTAACATATGGGGCAATCAAATGGTTAACTAGGCTGTGTGAGTGCTTTCCACTGTAAGCACACTGCTTTTGTAGAGCCATACAAAGCAGTGTGCAGGAGCTAACAGAGGAGAGATCTGTGCTGTTTATACGCAGGTCTCTCCCATGTCGGAGATACTCTGCGATCACCAGGTGCTGGCAAGTAATCACTGGCTGGGACCTGGTTATTGACAGCTGAGGCCACGAATGGCAGCGCGGGTAGGGTTCGCACGTGCCCCCTGCCTGGAAGTAAGTGTGTGTGTGTGTGTGTTGCACACCTGTGCTGCCCTGTAGCAGTATTTCTGCTATAGGGCGGAGGGGAAGAGGTTAAAGCCATACTGTGTCACTCCAAATAATATTGACATTTTGTTCAGTTTTAGTCTGTTATGGTTTCTGTTAACCCCTTCATGCTGCCTCTGGCCACAGTAAGGGGATCTTAATGCTGGGAGGCAGGCATTCACATCATGTGACCGCTGTTTGTCAGTCACATGATCAGATGCTCCCAATCGCAAATATGCATTGGGATCTTTTGCAGTTTCATTTTAGTGTTAGGAGGGAACTCTTACCATATTAAACAATACCCTATGGAAACAGTTGCTGGACGTTTAAAGCCCACCCACCGAGAGGCCACAAATATGCATACAACTGGTGGGAAGAGGTTAAAATAATAGGTGCACTTTCAAACAAAACACTTACTTGTTTTGCACTGATCTAAACAACACCACCCTTCCACTCCACTGATGTATCATTACTAAGATCCCATGACCACAGCCTCTTTAGTCAGTGGCTATGCCTGTGCCGCAGACGTATTGACTTCTGTGGGGCTGTACTGTTAAAGCTTGGCCAGAGGAGGGAGCCTTTCACCCCTGGAGAACCTTATCAAGTGACATAATACAACCTATTCAATAAAAACAATCAAAATTATTGGGTTTTTTTTGGGGGGGAAAAAATAGCAGTAGCTCTTTTTTGTATAGAATTGGTCCTTTTTACGTAAATGGCAGTCCTAACATATTGTCCTCTTTCAGAACATGTCAGTGTTTTTCAAGCTCCGTTTCACATAAAGGTGTTTTTGGATCGCCGTAATTTCAAAACATGCTGTCAAAATGTCAAATCGCACATCAGCATGTTCCAGCGCCATTCATTTCAATAGCACCTAAAAACGCGGGATGATTTGGTCAGATCAAAACATATGACGTGTGTCACTCAAAAGAAGTTCGAGAGCTTTAAGGGCGACACGCATCAGAATTGCCCTGCATTTTAGGCACCATACGTAATTCAGAATGCCTCTATTTCTAATAATAATCATAATATTCTGTTCTGAGGAGAATGCTGTCTTTTGTTTTGCCATGACCTTTTTAGACCTGAGGGTTGGTTCACACAGGGAGCACATGTTGCTGTGCGTGTTGACAGCACGTTCATTTGAATGGGCTGCAAAACACACTGTATCTCACAAAAAGAGGTGTTTGCAGTACTTCTAAAACTCATATTACACCAAATCGCATGGTAGTGGTGCCATGTGATTTGGTGCCCTCAAAGGCACTGCATTTTTCAAACCCTATTTGGGGTGCCATTACCCAATACATGCAAATTGCAAGGGCAGCACAATCACCTACGGAATCTGCCTTTCCCGCACTACATTCTGGTGTGAACCAGCCCTGATTCATTAATGTGAAAATTGGTGGTCATTATAACCACCTGGTGCACTCTGTGTGTCACGAGGAAAGCTGCAGTGGTGTGTGTGTGTGGGGTTTCCCCCCCCCCCCCCCCCTTTTTTTCAGTAGAAGTGGCTTTCTACTAGGGAACATGCGTGCTAAAATGTACATGCAATTCCTGGGATAATATCTTTATAAATAATGTTTGTTTTTAAGCTTCCCCACAAGATGAGTTTGCTTTTAATCTTTTGTGTACACTGCATTTCTGGATAATATTATATATATATATAATGTGTATGTATGTACTGCTATTTGCCATATGAGGGTGGATTTTCCGACATCCTGAATTACATTGCTGATTAACTTGCAAGTTTTCTGTGACCTTCCGAAAAAAAAAATCTACGTATCTGAAATCCTCATTCACCTCCAATTTTTGTGCAGCTAAATTTATTTTTTTTTTTTTTTTCTTACCTGGGGGAGCTTTACTAAAACTGGAGCATGCAAATTCTGGTGCAGTTTTGATAATAAAACCTGGAAGCTGGTTTCTATAACTAGCTTAAAGCTGAGTTCTAGTGATTTTTGTGTTTTTTTTTTATTATAAGTCAGCAGCTACAAAAACTGTAGCTGCTGACTTTAAACACGCACTCGCCGTGTCCCAGGATCCAGCAATGTGTTCACCTGCACTCTCCCTCTCCCCCTTGCACCAGCATCTCAAAGATGTGGGCACCCGGCTGTGAAGGCTGTCACACTGTACATGCGCGAGTCTTGCTGCACCTCCTCAACTCTTCTTTATTGAACAAGCTAAAGTTTATAAGCGGATTGGCTATCATGTACAGCTGCAGCAGATTTCTGAGCGCTCCAGTTTTAGTCTTTCTCCCCAATTATGCATTTACTTTGTGTGCGCTTTCTCTTTCTTTTATTTTATGGTTTTTGTCATTCTGAGTTGGCAGCAATTTTTCACTTTTAGTTCACTTTAAAGGTGCAGTGAGTATCTTCTATTTTAGTTGACAAAAGCCCCTAATTGTGGGTGACCAGACATGGTCTCTAGTAGCCCTGCTGTGGTTAGCTGAGAGCTACTTTAGAGCTCCATAGTGAAGAGAACAGGATAAGCTTTGCCTGGGTGTAGGGTAAAGGTGTATGTGGCATGTCCAGATTTCCTAGTAAACCAAGCATTGTCCTAATGTTCATGTTTTGTGAAATGACCCTGAAAGTTTACCTTGATGCAGCTTTGAACATGATTCTTTTTCTTTAATGAACTTCTATTTTAATTTGTTTCTGTCTTTTGGATTTGGCAGGACTCCTGAACAGTTTAATGAATCTTCTCTTGATCAACGCATCCAGAAGTGCATTAACAAAGACAAACCTAAGGTATTGTAATGAGCATTAAAAGAAACATTTTTGAAAAAAACATTGTTACTTGTGTGGTCTTATTGGTGTGAATGCACCAGACAATGTGTTCTTGCAAAATATATATAAAAAAAAATGGCTATTTTCAGAGTATTTATTATGACTAATTCTGTGATATTTGTTTTATCTTTGCGCATCCCCCCCCCCCCCCCCCCCGTATGTTTTTTTTTATTACAATTTCCAAACTTCTCCCCCCCCATTTAAAAAAAAAAAAACAAAAAAAAAACTGGTTCTGCTTCCTGATGTCACTTGCCATTCAGAATTGAAATGAGGGAGAAAAGCCAGCCAGTCTGTGAGTAAAATTCAGCGCACACACTTGTTAGGCATACAGTGTCCATCTCAGCCAGTCCCTGGTTGCCTGCCACGCTATTATAGTCACATTATAAGCCACTGATTACTGCCATTTACTAGTATGGCATCTGTCTGGATCAAGATCCTGGTCACGGTCAGAACTATACTAGTGTCCCCGAAAACGAAGTGTTGGCAGGGTCATCCCTGATCACTGCCAGCACTTGTGTTTTTTGACCAAACCCCCCAACAAGTGCAACATAAATATAATTTTTCTGACCACTGACATCGCTGAAACATTTGTCTTCAAAGCTGCAAGTCTAAAAGATTTGCCCCCCCCCCCCACCCCAAAAAAAAAAACTTGTGGCCAATAATGTTTTTTTCCATGGACCCAACATGCCTCTCTGCAAATACCTTGGGGTGTCTAATTTAAAAAAAAGACTGATTTGGGGGGGGTTGGGGGTACTGGTGCCTCTTCCTTATTTTAATTTGTTTTTATTTTAAATATTTGGTGTTTTTTTTTTTTTTTTTTTTTTTTTTTTTTTGTTCTCCAGCTGAAGCAGAACTTGATAAAATCTCAGTTTTCCTGCACTTACAAAGAGACCTCAGCAAGTCAGCCCAAGTCATGTGATTTTCCAAGTATGAGTCAAGTGCCAACTTGCATCCATCCAGCACCAAAATTTGTTCCAGTACTTTGCTTTGATGAAGAACCAATAGGTATTGATTATGCAAATCTGCATGTGTGGGTTTTATTTTTCTTTACCTGTCAACCCATATTTTTCCTGCAACCATTCATCCATGACACTTTTGAAAACAGAAGCAGTGCTGGCATTGGCAACAGTTTATCTTGCCTTCGTTTCCTATAAATCCAGAATTTTTCTCCCAGCAGTCAGCATCTTTTTTGTTTTTAAAATGGGGGGGGGGGGGGGGGGGGGAGAGAGAGACTAGGTAGATTTGAGAAAAAAAGTGTACTGATTCTTTTTCCATATGCTTACACAAAGGCACGTATAATGGATTAGTAGTGGTTGGTGTTAATGAAACCTGTCGCTCTTGCAGTAATGGGCAAAGATAGCTAATTTTATAAAAAGGGGGGAAAAAAAACTACGTTTCCATTGCTAAGTTTGGACAAATGCATTTTTTTTTTTTTTTTTTTTTTTATTTCATTTTAGCTGCAGGCAATATAAGCAAAGAGAAACTTTTCGCATACATTCTGGTAATATTGACTCAAAAGATGTGAAGGGAAAACCCAGTAAACCATCAATACAAAAGAGCTCAAAGAGAAAGCAAGTGGATACTGATGAGAACCAAGGCAAACTTGAAGATGAGCCTCCACAAAAGAAGCTTGCTGGATCAACAAAAACGAAGGAAAATGCAGCTAGCAGTAAAGCTGTAGCCAAGAACAAGCTAATTGTGGGACAAGCTAAGTTAACTAGCTTTTTTACCGGGTGTAGTTCTTGTATAGTTGAAATGGTTTTTATATACTGTATATGACTGTTTTGTTTGTGTTTTTTTTTTTTTTTTTTTTTTTTTTTTTTTTTGTAGAAGCTGTTACTTTTTGTTTTGTGGCTTTAATTTATTTCATTTCCTTATTGCTTTTTATTATGTTTAATTTCAGAAAATGACATGTTTTATATTGCACTGATCACTTTATTTCCACTTTAATAAATGTACATAAAATGCACTTTTATCTGTAAGTTAATTCCATTCATGGGTAAGTGGTAGATTGATGTCCTTTTCATCGACTTTTATCCTTGTTCATCTCATATCTGCCAGCATGGTCTATAGACTCTTCCAAGCATACACCTGAGCACTAAAGAGAATAAAATGATCAGTGTCTCCAGAATTTTCATGTCTTAAACTGGAAGCAAAACGAACGTCTCTTAAAAGGAGGGCACCTACACTTCAAATGGCACCTCAATTACAACGTAGTTACTCAATATATGGACAGCCTTCCCACCCTTTTCTTGGTGTAAAATTTCATGAGTAATCAAGGTTATTATAAAACAATCCATAGTTGGTGAACCAATGCCCAAAGCATACTTACCAAAGTACTAAAGAGTGTGAGAGGGGAAAAGAGAGAGGGATTTTAAAGCTCTGTTACTGATTGCTAAGAATATGTAATATCTTAATGTCCATAGTCTGAGCACAGGTGCACTTACAGATTACTGTGTAAGAATAAAACCATTTGTTAGTCTACTCAGGTTCTTTACCATGGTTTATAAGCAGCTGCCTTCAGGTGATTGAACACTGGCCCCCAAAAAATTTGTCTTTAGCTGGTGGACCTCTTCTTTCTACTTGGTGTATGATGTGTGTGTTGTGGTTTTGTTGACCCCTTGAGGGACTGTCCATGGACCTGGGGCTGGCCTCTATTGTTGCGGGCACTGGATGTTTCTTAGGGGCTTACCTATGCATGCAGTGCATTGAGTTAGCAGCAGGATGAAGGGGTGTGGTCCGCCAGTGGCAAAGCCCTTTCCATTGTAGAGGTTGAAACCAGGATGGGATCCAGCAGCAAGCTAACTGAGGCCTCGGGTACAGTTCCCGCATCCCTTACACTGACTTTTTTTTTTTTTTTTTTTTTCTGGTTTCACACTGATTTGGCTTAGTCCTAGTCATGCCCTTCAAAGCCTATTACAAATGTTTTCATTATCTGTTTTTGCTTGGAAGACAGGTTTTTCTCATTAATATCCCCTTAGTGCCAAGGGCTTCTCACTTTTAAAAGGTTAATTGCAGGTAAGACCACTAACTGTTACACAAGGGCAAAAGCAATCCTGAGGCCAAAGGCTCTTTTCCTAAGGAGGTCTGGCAAGATACTATTCAAGCTTATGGTTTGAGGGATGGGGTTCCTCTTTCCTCTTAAGGCAAACTCCTGTGATCTGTTTAGTGTTTCATGGACATTTTTCAGCATAAAGTCTCTCAGATTTTCAAGGCTGCCACCTAGTCTTCTGTTAACACATTTAAGTTCTATCCGGTGGATGTTCAGGCCTCTGATGCCAGTTCCAGATGTAAGGCGCTTGGACCTCCTACTCATAATGATTAAAGATCCTGTGTCCTGTACTACAAAGACTTTTGATTTGCAATAAAATCTATTTCTTGGCATACAGGTCACAGGTCTCTCCTTTTTTGTTCTTCTGATCTTGCTATTGCTTGCTACAAAACCTGTTGTCTGGGGAGGAGAGAGGGCAGGGCTAAGCCGTGGCTCTGTGTGAATGGACGTGTAGGTCAGTGGCTCGGGAGCAAGCCTGCTTGGGTGCCCCCCACAGCAAGCTACTTGCTCCTAGGGCAGGAGGAAGGGCCCAGGAATGCTTGTGGGGGACCCGAGAAGAGGATCAGGGCTGTTCTGTGCAAAACCACTATACAGAGCAGGTAAGTATAACATATTTGTTTTAAAATAAATGCCTTAATTATCACTTTTCCCTAACACTTTAAAAAAAATAGACATACAGAAAGGTTAAAGTCCACATAGGCAAAGAGAGAAAATAACTCCAAGCAGATGGTGTCCTGGCCCAAATTGAAATCAAGGACTTCATTGCTGCAAGGCAGAAGTGCTTACACGATGAGCATAGCAACCAATAGTGTGACACTTTTTATTACTGCTGAGTGGTATAAAATGGCAGATGTCCTAAAACATTACGCAAAAATTAATTCAATCCTACCATCATACATTATTTCAAAGTATTGGGCTTTGCATGCAAGCCTGCATCATTCTGTGCATTTTGAGCCTCCAATCTACCAAATTGTTTAATTTTAATAGTTGAAGCCCTGGTCTTCCAAGGTGCGTTTATAGATTTCCTGTTATTCATTTAATAGCTGATGAAGGGCTTTCAGATAATAGTTATCCAAGAGGATCAAGAGCCGGTCGATCCTTTTATGAGGTTCTGAAAGTGCACCCCCCCCCCCCCCGTATGATAGCCATAAAGTTAAATAAACGCATTAATAAAAAAAAGCCTCTATGCACTCCAATGCAAACACTGCGCATAGGGCGTGCATATAAAAATAATTTGTGTTACACTTGACGAAAACCGTCAGTGAGAGCAATAATTTATTCTAACCTGCAAAGACTTAAATCAGTATATAGTCTATAGAGTTTTGGGCGCCATGTGATTTTTACAACAACATGCAGCTTTAAAGCTTTGTTTCGATATAAATTTACTCAACACCACTTCATCTTTTTAAATGTAAGCAAAAAATTGGGTATACTATTTTGTTTTCATTAGCATTCAATAGTATTTTTTTCCTGACAATGTGCATTTGACTTTCACTTAAATTTCAGGGTCCATGCTTTCAAAAAAATTATATAATTGTTTGGGGATTTAAGGTAATTCCTAGCAAAAAAGCAGATTTTTTTTTTTTTTCCTTTGTTTTACACAAACAAAATAATGTTTAGAAATCTATTTTCTACCATAAAAATTGTAGAATATTTTGCTTTAAAGTTGGCCATACATGGGCTGAAATTCAGCCAGTTCAGCTTCATATATGGGTAGGGTGGTTGAAAAGAAGTCAATCTATTAATTGATCTAATCTTTGCTGCTTGATCAGTTCTGCCAGCTATAGCCTGCAACGTTGATCAGTGCATTCTCACAGTGGGGGAAATCTTTACACTGTCAGAATACAACAGCACAACGGCAAGGATTCTTGCAACTACCACAAAAGTGTGGATGGGGGTATTGAGTCGGGTGTGTGTGTGGTTCCTCTGCTTTTGAAAGGCTGGTGCAGGGGCGGACTGACCATTTGGAAACTTGGGCACTGCCCGAGGTCAGTAGGGGGCTGCATGAGATGCCCCTGGTACACTTTTTTTTTTTTTTTTTTTTTTTCTTTCTTCATAGGCTTTTTTGAGTTTGGGCAAGGACACGGGCCCCATGAGTTGTCAGCCTGCCCCTGGGCTGGTGTATAGCATTAGTCAAATATATGGAAATTTTAATGAATACTTACTGTCAAAATCTCGTCTTCCTATAGGAAACTTATTTTCCTCTTCTCCAATATCTCTTCTTTCATGCGTCAACTCAACATTCTCATCCCCACTGTCTAAATGTCGTAGTGAGCTTTTAAGTGGGGAAAAGGCCATTTGCTTCACGCCACTGCTTATAGGAAGAACATCTTGACTGAAGTAACTGTTACGAGAACCCAAACTCTGGGGAGGAAAAAAAAAAATATTGATTTCCAAGAACGAGAATAGCAATACATTCTTCAGCTTTAGAAAGTATATTTTTAATAATTTACCAATAATTTCTCCAATACAGGACTTCTCTGACTGGTCCTCGGAGACCACAACTGGGTCATGTTTTTGTAAAATTCCAAGTAAATAAATTTAAAGTTCTGATCCACCCAAAACTGGCCTTTTCACTTCTCCAGACTGTCCTTGCTAATATTTTAAAACAATTTTTAAAGGTAAATTTTTTTTTTTTTTTTTTTTTCTTTTTTCTTAAATAACAAACATGTCTACTCACCTGCTCTGTGTAGTAGTTTTGCACAGAGCGTTCTTGATCCTTCTCTTCTCAGGCCCCCTGTAGGCTCTTCTGGCTCCTCCTGTCTGTTGGGTGCTCCAGATCCATTCACACACAGAACTGCGGCTTGGCCTCACCCCCTCTTCTCTTTGGCTGCCTGGCTGTGATTGACAGCAGCAGGAGCCAATGGCTCTCGCTTGCTGTATCAGCCAATGCTCTCCATTGTTTGATTCTGACCGCGGTTTCATGCGTTTTTAACCCTATTATTATGTGAGTTGATATGCTTTAATAAATATATGCCTTTTAAAGAAGCCTACTGCACTATGGTCTACTTTGTGGTTGTTTGAGCTTTATCCACAGATTTGGCTATACTGAAATCTGTTGCCGTTTGTGAAGGTCCAGTGGTGATTCATAAGGGAAAGAGTGCACAGAGGAGCAAGTTATGTGTTACCCCCACTAATAGGGGAGATGCTTTGTTTGACCTGTGTCCACATACAGGTCCATGCGAGAAGGTGAGAGTCCACCTGGAAGTCTATGTTCACTATGGTGATTCACATGTATTGAAGATTTACAGCACTGGGAATTTGGGTGCAATCACCAGCTGGAAGATTTTTCTTGACTTATGCCAGCAGCCTGACTTAACTAGCAGCTTAAATTGAACTCCCACTTAATTCCTAACCCCTTTTACTGTATATCGTAGTACAGACTGACCAGTCACAATATGCCTTAGAGTTTCTAACATATTTTATATCATCTCTACAGTAGAGGGAAAATATACTGTATGTACAGTGTATGTGTATGTATGTATGTATGTATATATATATATATATATATATATAAAATATACACAGACGCACAAAAATGCCTGCCTTTACACGCACATGAACTTTAATAGCATCCCAGTCTTAGTCTGTATGGTTCAATGTTGGCCCACCCTTTGCAGCTATAACAGCTTCAACTCTTCTGGGAAGGCTGTCCACAAGGTTTAGGAGCGTGTCTATGGGAATGTTTGACCATTCTTCTAGAAGAGCATTTGTGAGGTCAGGCACTGATGTTGGGTGAGAAGGCCTGGATCACAGTCTCCGCTCTAATTCATCCCAAAGGTGTTCTATCAGGTTGAGGTCAGGACTCTGTGCAGGCCAGTCAGATTTCTCCACCCCAAACTTACTCATCCATGTCTTTGTGGACCTTGCTTTGTGCAGTGGTGCGCAGTCGTGTTGGAACAGGACGGGGCCATCCCCAAACTGTTCCCACAAAGTTGGGAGCATGAAATTGTCCAAAATGTCTTGGCATGCTGACGCCTTAAAAGTTCCCTTCACTGGAACTAAGGGGCCAAGCCCAACCTCTGAAAAAGAACCCCACACCATAATCTCCCCTCCACCAATCTTTACACTTTGCACAATGCAGTCAGACATGTACTGTTCTGGCAACAGCCAAACCCAGAATTGTATATCAGATTGCCAGACAGAGAAATGTGATTTGTCACTCCAGAGAACATGTCTCCACTGCTCTAGAGTCCAGTGGCGGTGTGCTTTACACCACTGCATCTGACACTTTGCATTGCACTTGGTGATGTAAGGCTTGGATGCAGTTGCTCTGCCATGGAACCCATTCCATGAAGCTCTCTATGCACACTTGTTATGATAATCTGAAGGCCACAGAAAGTTTGGAGGTCTTTACCATTGACTCTGCAGGCAGTTAGCAACTTCTGAGGACTGTGCACTTCAGCATGTGCTGACCCCACTCTGTCATTTTACGTGGCCTACCACTTCATTGCTGAGTTGCTGCTGTTCCCAGTTTCTTCCGCTTTTTTTTACGATACCACTAACAGTTGACCATGGAATATTTAGTAGCAAGGAAACTTCATGGATGGACTTATTGTACAGGGGACAACCTATCATGATACCATGCTTGAATTCACTGAGCTCCTGAGAACGACCCATTCTTTCACAATTATTTGTAGAAGCAGTTTGCATGCCTAGGGACTCTATTTAATACACCCGTGGCCATGGAGGTGATTGGAACACCTGAATCCAAAAATTCAGAGGGGTGTTTTTGGAAATATAGTGTGTGTGTATATGTATATGTATATGTATATGTATAATATATATAATATACTGTATATATATATACTGTATGTGTATATATTTAATAACACGAGTGTATAAGGCTGAATTCACATGGGAATACAAATCTTCTGGAGTGCTTTCCTACTTCAGCAGCTGTCTGTTTGCAACTTCGGTAAGGGACAGTGTGGTGTGTGATTCAGAGCATCACTGGCTCCTTTTTTTTTTTTTTTTTTTATTGGTTTTGTAAAAACTTTATTTGAAGTGTACAAAAGTATACTTCATTCACAGCAATGTACAGCAGCACGATATGTTGCTGTACATTGCCGTGCTAAGCTGTACGGTGCGCTGCAATAAAATGCAGCATGTCTGTATTTTATCACAGCATGCTGCAGCGCAGCCATAATGCTGTGTTGCAGTGTGAATTGGAAACATAGTAAACTGTTGTTTCCCATGTGTCCTTGCCGTGACAGACATTTTATAATGCAGCACAGTGTGAATTAGCCCTAAAATATCGTTCACCCCTTGGATCCAGCAAGTGGCAAGCTTCAAATAAATTTTGCAACCTTTGCAGGATCATAGTATGACATAGTACTTGTTAGTGAGATCTTATTTTCCCCTGCTCTTTATCAAGGAGCACTAACTTCCCCTTCAGTTTAATTATGGCATCTTGCTTGAATTATCCATGTTAACCATTGTAATTTATAGTCAATGCAGGAAAAGTCAGGTATAATCTTGAGAATTGTGGTTAAACTGTGACAGGCTGGCTAAAATAACACAGAAGACCAAGTTTACAATATAGGATGACTCTCATACAGAAAAATGTGCAAGGTTGTAAACCTTTATATAGTTAAAAAATAAAATCACACTGGAAAAATTAAAATGTTACTAAATCCACAACAGTAAAATCAATCTTTATGTTCAGTACTGCATGCTTGTTATACTCCCTCTGAACCAAAGGGTTATTCCTCTGCATTGTGTAAATAGAATTTTTAATCCTGTTTTCTCTGATGCTCCCCTTCTTCCACGGTTTCCTACTAATCTCCTCATAGAACAGAGCCTTGGGGGCAAGCTGCCCATTTTAAGTTTGGTGAGTATGGCTAGAGTTTTTTTTTTTTTTCTTGGGAGAGTGCATGTGATCAGCATAGGGCCAATCAGCGCTGTCCAGACAGAGAGTCAGGAGTCCTGCAGTCTCATAGGACAGTGAGAGGAGAATGAAAACTCCTCCCACAAGCTTTAACCAGTGCTCTGCTGGACAGTGATAGAAGTCACAAGACTGCTCAAATTGCTGATGAGAAAAGGTATTTAGCAGTTTACATTTACTAAAATAATTGCACTTCCATGTTCTGTGTACTGTTGGAGACCAGGTATAGTGAATGCAGGGTCCTGGGTTTAGTAACACTTTAAATTGAGAATTGTTTCTCTATTGACAATAATATGTATGGAGCTTCTAGATTTCATTTTTTTTCTTCAAACGCTCAGGCCATCTCATCCCGAAATCTGTTACGTGTTCCCTGATTTCACCTTTCTTTACTTTCCTACTCTGCAATTCCTTCAAAGCAGGGAACTATATGCATCCTAAAAATTATTGTTAAATATCCACTTTTTTCACATTACATATGTATTTACTGATATGTTTTATCTAGCTTACTTGCTTTCTCTAAAGCAACTTTGCATGGATGTGTCTGGAAGGATCCAGCTGTTAAAAATGGTTTTCTCTATTTAGATACCATTCTAAGGTGTCCGTTTATGACACAGAGAATACATGCGTTTCAGAGGATCGCAGCTATTCTCTGGTCATTCACAGTTTGACACTCAGGAGATCAGCGGAGAACATGTTCAGCTCTTCACTGGAGATCTGTGTTCTCCATCCAGATTCTCCAGCCCAGAGCTGGAGAATCAGAGGGACCGCAAACTGAGCAGCGATAATTTACCTCCTGTTTAGTAAACTGATATTTTACTGTAATCTCACGAGATTATAGTAAAATCAGCCGGTTTCCAGCGTTTGTAGACCGTTTTCCTGCGTTTGTAGATCGTTCTCCCTTCGTTTGGAGAACTGATCTACATCGCTTCATAAAAGGCATTCACAGGAGAACTGTGTTCTCCGAGAATGCCGGAGAACTGAGCAGCGATCTATTACCGCTGGTTCATAAATGGACACCTTAATGTGATTCCTGCTTCATCTTTCAAGAAGGATTCATACATGAAAGAAGAAGAATTTATTAACTGTCCCAATACCTCCTGAAAAATATTTTTATAGCAGTGCCTCTTACCACTGAAAACCTTCAATCCAACCAGATATTTCTGTACTCAAATGCAAGTAAAACTGGTTGTAAACCTCAGACATAAACATATGAACAAAACATCTCCCTACATAGTGTGTACTTGTCTAATTTAAGAGCACTAAGTGACATTTCTGTCTGCTGCTCTGTTCCTTTGCTATCAGCATGAATCACTTCTGACAAGTTTTCCTGACCCCAAGAGAAAAATGGTGACAGGGGAGGGACCTCCAGCAGATTGACAGCCTTTAGCTATGTTCCTGTGAGCTGTGTGGAGGGTGGTGTGTCTCTTCCCTCCAATCAGCTCCCAGAGCTCTGCAGAGTGTTATTGTATCTCTCTGCCCCCTGTTTTCTGAACTCAGACAAGCTTTTTAAGTTCTGCACTTTGAATGGATGTAGAGAAGAGAAGGCTGATACACAGGTACAACTTTTGTGGGAGGATTTGTTTCATCTCTATGTATCACTAAGGCCAATCACTTCAATGGGTGTATGTAAGGGTTTACAACCACTTTAAGCCTCCTATTATAGAACACAAACTTCTAGTCTGTATCAAAATTTACCTACCTTAAAACGTGTTTTAAGCTTAGTTACATTTCTTTGTGTTGGTGCTGTCATATTTTTGAATTTGCTCTACTCTTGTTATTTTCTCTACTCTCATTCTTCCTTTTTTTTTTTTTTACTATTTCAGCTTTGTCCCCCCCTCACACTTGACTTGGTTTATTCCCCTGTTCTGAGATATGAATTTAGAAAGTACGTTTTCATTGAGGTCAGACCAGACCAGGGGCGGACTGACAACTCATGGGGCCCCTGGGCAATAGGGGATCATGGGGCCCCTGTGTCCTTGCCCAAACTCAAAAAAGCCTATGAAAAAGGTACCAGGGGCATCTCATGGGGCCCCCTACTCACCCCTGGCCCTCGGGCAGTGCCCAAGTTTACAAATGGTCAGTCTGTCCCTGGACCAGACCCATAGACTTGCATTAGGAAAGAGGAGCGGAGAAATGCAGTCAATGTGGAACACTTCTAAGCAAGAAGCAGAAGCTGAATATATAACAAGCAAATATTGGGGTTTGATTTACTTTTGGAGCGTGCAAAATCTGGTGCAACTATAGAAATCAATCAGTTTCCAGATTTTTTTTTGTCAAAGCGTAATTGAACAAGCTGAAGTTAGAAGCTGAATGCCTACCATGCACAGCTACATCAGATTTTGCATTCTTCAGTTTAAGTAAATAAATCCTACTGGCTTTTCATATATATATATATCAAGGACGGACTGCCAACTCATAGGGCCGCTGGGCAATAGGCGATCATGGGGCCCCTTTGTCCTCTCCAACACCCAAAAAAGCCTATGAAAAAGTCAATGAAAGGTACCAGGGGCATCTCAGGGGGCCCCCTACTGACCACGGGCCCTCGCCCACAAAAGGGTCTAGTTATAAAGAAATTGCAGGATTAATATCACAAGCATTAACCCAGCCCTCATGCATATTGACCGTATTTTTTCCTGATATGTCTATTTCCTATAATCCTTTGATAGTCAACTCAAGCTAGTGGCCATAATGCAGTATTTTGGAAAAATTCCACATTGTGGCCACTAGATGGAGCTGACGGCCATAGGAATTTAATGTATTAAGCAAAACATGGTCAAAATGTGTGAGAACAAATTTTTAAAAAATAGATCCCTTAGTTTATGTATATGAAGCTGAATATGTATGTTTAGATTTTTAAGAAAGACTAGTTCCATTTAAAAAGAAAGATGTTTCACTTACCTGTATACTTCTTTTCCTCTTCCTCTTTCATGTTTGAGCTTTCGTCTGCTAAGTAATGATCTGCTGCATTGGCTACAGTTTTGTCTGTCGTGTCTCCATTGCGTAGTGCTTTTCTTAGAGCAATTGTATCTAGCAAAACTTCATCGTTCTCTGATTTGCGAATAGACTTTGAAAATGAAAAAAGGAAGCCTTGGGACAGAATGGATAAAGATATAATAAGAGGATACCCTAAGCTAGTCATTCTTACCATTGTATGGCTAGCTGCCTGGCAGATCTAAATGTGTTTGTAATAATGACATGCTATGAGTGCAATTCTTTATATATATATGTTTTGCAACATAATTACCATTTTGCAAAAAAAAAGAAAGAAGATGTGCCACTTCTCCAGGACACTGACTGGGGAAGCTGTTTGAACAAACTATTGTATATGTCAATGGCTTTCATATGAAAACACTTGTAAATAATTGATTTTTTAACTTAATCCAGCAAAGTACATTGCTAAATTTGCACAATACAACCACCTTCCTTCCAAGCCAGCAGGGTGTTATCTGCTGAATGAAAAAAGATTTTTATTTTCATACAAATTGTAAGAAAGTCATATACAAGAAGCCTGCGGTTTATAATTATTTGTACTCCTCTTTAGAAAATGTGTTTATATCTTTCTAAACTTCTTTCAATGAGGTTCATGTTCTTTAGTATTGAATAATCCTTTTAGAGTTTGCCAACTTTTAAATACGTCATTAAACACCCCTCCCTTTCCCCCCAACCCCACCCCACCTCCCCTCTCCTCCCCCCCCCCCCCCCCCCCACCCACACCACACCATCTCCCTCCCCCCACCCCCCCCCCCCCCCCCCCCTCAGACCCCCCAACCCCCCTCCCCCCCCCCCCCCCCCCCCCCCCCACCCCCACACCCCCTCCCCCAAACCCCCCCCCCCCCCCCCCCCCCCCCCCCCACCCCCCCCCCCCCTCCCCCCCCCCCCCCCCCCCCCCCCCCCCCCCCCCCCCCCCCCCCCCCCCCAATCCCCTCACACCCCCCCCCCCCCCCCCAACCCCCCCTACACCCCCCCCCCCCTCAAACCCCACTCCACCCCCCCCCCCTCCCCCAAACCCCCCTCCCCCCCACACACCACACCTCCTCCCCCCCCCCTCCCCCCCCCCCCCCCCCCCTCCCCCTCAGACCACCTCACACCCCCTTCTCCTCCTCAGAAACCCCCACACTTCTACCCCCCACACTCCTCTCTCCTCCACAGACCCCCCCCCCCACACACACAGACCCCCCCCACACCTCCCTTCTCCTCCTCAGACACATTTTGGTGCAGCATGATTATTAAAAGGTCTCTTTTGTGCATGTTTAGCACATAGGGCAGCATATTGAAATGAATGGGCTGCCTTATATGTGCGGCACTAAAACACGCACTCCATCACAACTGCATAGGTGTGAATGAAGCCTTAGGGCTAGTTTACACTCCCTCTGAACAGCAATGTGCATTGGATCACTTTTCAGAGGGCATTTGACAGGCAGTGAGGACGTATTATGTCTCCTCCCCACTGCCTGTTTTAACCCCTTAAAATCTGTCACCACTGTACCAAAACTGCATGCTTTGGATGCTACTGCAGCTCAGCCCTTTCACTTACATGGGTTATGTTTAGCAGGCAATGCTGCCTGTCAAACATGAGGGGGGATATCTTTTGACGCACATGTGTGCATACCCATATAGCTCTCTTTGCAGCTTGGGAAGAGGGGAGGCAGTAATAACACAACTCAACCTTCTGTTGTTACCACCCATCCCCATCCCCCCTGAACAGCAAGTGTAATCAAGGCCTTAGGATTCTTTCACATGAGTGGATGGAGGGTGGCAAAAGCAAGCAGTTGGGTCTCATTTTTTCCTGCTCCCAACCACCTACCTGTACAAGGAGATGCAGCTACTCAGGGCTGTACATGTGCCATGGCCTGATGGTTTGCTTCATAGCCACGGCAAAAACTAATGGAATGGGGGTCACACTGCAACTGAGTGCAGCACAGTGGTCAATGAGGTTAAAACATGCAGCAAGGAGGTGAAATATCTCCTCCTCACTGCCTATCAAACACCTACTGAAAAGTGATCTGTCATGGATCATTTTCAAAGGGCTGCAATCACAGTTGCACATCTAAACAGTCCTCCTCCGACTGACACCAGCAACGCAGTGGCAGCTTTTCCCCACTGGCCCTGATGCAGCACCATTGTTCCTTTTAGCTATACCACTGAGACATTTTTTCTTTGCACGATAAGCCCCATATTTGTGCACTGATTTTAAACTCTTTAAGTTTGCTGCAGACAAGACAAAAATTGGTACTATTTTGCACACGCCACAAGCATTACAAACATTTTGCTCAATGTGTCGTTATTAGCTCCTCCACTTCCACTTGGGCGGGGGGGGGGGGGGGGGGCGCAGTTGGCCATCTTCGCTCTGGGCACTGTGCCTTGTCCTAGCACACTTACCAGCCAGTCTGCAAAACAACCAAATTGACCCTGTCTAACAATTTAACCTCTTCCCCGCCACCCTACAGCAGATATACTGCTACAGGGTGGCAGGGGTGTGCAAAATCACGTATATATACGTGATTTTGCATTTCCGGGTAGGGGACACGTGTGAGTCACGCCACCATTTGCGGCCCCAGGTGTCAATCCTCGGGTCCCAGGCGGTAATTACCTGCCGGCGCCCGATGATTACTGAGCATCTCCGATGGGGAGGAAGACTGTTTTGTTGGCTCGGGCACACTGCTCTGGATGGTTGTGCACAGCACAGCCATCCAGGGCAGTGTGCTTACAGTGAAGCACCAACACACTGCCCCCCAGTAAAACACTCCCAGCACACAGTTAACCCTTTGATCAGCCCTCATATTAATCCCTTCCTGCCCAGTGCCATTAGTACAGTGGTAATGCTTTTTTAGCACTGATCACTGTATTGGTGTCACTAGGGATGTCAGTGACACCAAATCAGTTCCCCCCCAGTGTCAGAATGTCTGCCACAGTCCTGCAGGCCCGCTAAAATTTGCTGATTGCAGCCATTACTAGTAGAACCCCCCCCAAGTATATATACCCCCATTTGTAAACACTATAACTTTCACGTAAACCAATTAATTTAAACGTTTTGGGATTTTTTTTGTATCAAAGACATGTCGCAGAATACATTTTGGCCTAAATTTATGATGAAATTTGATTTTTAAAATATTTTACTGGACATGTTTAATAGCGAAAAGTCATTAATATTGTTTTTTTTTTTCAAAATGGTCGGTCTTTTTTTTTATAGTGCAAAAAATAAAAAACGGATAGGTGATCAAATACCACTAAAAGAAAGCTCAATTCGTAGGAAAAAAATGACGTAAATTTAATTTGGGTGCAGGGTTGCATGACAGCGCAATTGTCATTTAAAGTAACGTACCGCAGTAATACAAAAAATGGCCTGGTCAGGAAGGGAGGTAAATCCTCAGGAGGGTGAGTTAATTCCTGTTAATTCCTGCCTGGAGCCATACTTCTCCTAATGGTTGGGAAACACCATTAGTATTGATGAGGCACAAGAATCCATGGTCCTAGAAGCATGCATTCACAGTAGGAGCTGGACATAACTGGCACATCTTTCTGCAAAAGTTTTGTGGTGCCTTGCAGGGCCACACATTAAAGAATTTGGAAGTAGGGGTATGGAGGAGCATGTGTTCTTCTTTCCTTTATCCCAGGACACAGTGCTTTGCTTTGAACATCCAGTCACTAAGTGTCGGGGCTTGGCGCAGGCGCAGTGCACCGCCCTGTGCAGGGACGCGGGCACTGGGACCTGGCCGACAGCGGCAATCGAGTTTGCGCATGCGCAGTAGAGATCGCGGGCGCGCGTGTGGCACCAATGACAGCACAGGGCGGGATATTTAAATGGCCCTGAGCTGTCATTCAGTGCCTTCTGGTCTTCCCTGTATTCCTGAACCTGCGCCTTGTAAGTTATTGACCCGGATTGTACCTGACCTTGCTATATTCTCCTGTCCTGACCCTTGCTTTGCCTGACCTCTCTCCTGGATGCCCCCTATTGGATCTGACCTGCTGTTGCTGACCTGGCGTGTGACCCGACTATTCTCTGCCCGATGCCTTGAACCGCACCGTCCTCTTAGTTACCGACCCGGCCTGCCTGACTTCGCACTTGCTCAGCTATCCATCCCTCTCAGCGGGGTCTTCAGACCTCCTCATATCAGGTTCTCCTCCGTGGGAGCCCCCGGCGTATACCACTACCACTGACGGGTATACCCAGTAGTCACAACCTGGTCTCAGGGTGCTCCAAGTCCATCCCCACCATCAGGGGCCCTGGTGAACAAGTGCACTGGGACTTAAACTCCGTGCTCTGGGGACGCCTACTCAGTGGAGCGGTGGTGGTACCGCCGGGCGGTCCCTTACACTAACCTTAAACACTATTATGTGAAAGAAGGAAGGATTTGGGTTTCTGGAGTACTGGGCTGACTTTTCATTGGGGTGCAACCTACATGCTATAGATGTTTTGCACCTATGTAAATGGAAGGGGGTCTGCATTCCTTGGGGAGAGGTTTATGGGAAGGCTGGAGGAGTATTTAAGCTAGGATTGAGGGCAGAGGGTGAACTTGAATTCAATGGAGTAGACAGGTCAGTTGGGGGTCAGACAATAATGGAGGGTGGAATGGGGATAGATGGGGCAGGGTTATGGCAGGTGATAAGAGGGTTCCCATGTTACAAACAACCATTGGAAAATTTACATAAATTGGGCGGGGCATAGCCGGTGACGTTACGCGCACACACACTGATACTCCTTGCTTCGATGTTTGTTGTGTATGCACTCTTATAATCCTCATCTTTTGTGAGCATATAATCAGAGCAGAGATGTGTGTTCTCCATTCATCACCAGCGGGTTACCTCCACACCCACCGCACTGTCCACCCTACACTGAGCGCCCCTTTCATTTGTCGTCTGTGACCAGGGAAGATCTCTGAAGAACAATGAAGCCAGGCACTTGAGGTTTTTTTTCTGATGTTGACCTATTGAGTTACATCTGGATGTGTCTATTCCACCAGTGAGATTGTGCTGTTGAAGAGGATGTCAGTGAGAGTGCCGTCCCTTGACTGTGCACATTAAGCGCTGTTTGATCTTTATCATCTGAGATCATTCTCATCTGCAAGAGGCTATTTCTTCCCTTTTGAGGAGCACCTTTTTGAGCACTGGAGCACTTTTATGAAGTGGACGTTGATCAACATTGAGCAC